TCAAAATACCGTAACTCGGGGCACATTTGTGTTAAGAACCAACCAAATAACGATTCCGTGATTCCTTTCTTTGTGTCTGTTTGCAGAGTTTCATACTGTGTGTGTTGACTCGTGGTTGACCTCTTGGAGAACTTTCTGCCCTGTGTGCAAACGGGATGCTAGAACAAGCACGGGAGAGCCGCCAGCTTCAGAGAGCACGCCATTACTCTCATCCGCTGCATCGTCTTACAACTCTTCCTCTGTGCTCTCTTCCATCAGATCATCATCCGCAATGTTGATCGGTCCTTCCATGGGATCATTACCATCTTCAATCTCTTTCTCTCCCGCGCACGCTAGCTCATCTTATATCAGACCATCATTCCGGTCTTCCTCTAACCGGCGATCTCCTCCAATAAGCGTAAGTCGAAGCTCTATGGATCTCAGGCAACAAGCAGCTTCTCCATCCCCGTCGCAGAGATCATACATTTCCCATATGGCTTCTCCACAGTCATTGGGGTACCCTACTATATCGCCTCTCAACTCCAGGTACATGTCACCGTATAGGCCTAGCTCGAGCAATGCGTCACCTGGATTAATCGGATCATCCAATTATCCGTTCCATCCGTTGCGTTACAGTGAATCAGCCGGAACTCTCTCTCCATACGCCTCGGCAAACTCGCTACCAGAATGTTAAAAGTTCATGGATGAACCAACCGGTCTGGTTCAGGTCATACAAGATTTTTTCTTTCTTTTGCATTTGAGTTCTTACTACGAGACGCACGTGTGTGTTTGTGTGTGTACCGATGCTTTATAGTCTTTTGGTTGAGATGAACATCTTTCGGTTTATGTTAGAGATTTTATTACTTCCACAAACAAAGTTGGTTCTTTTGTAGAGAATATGAGCCTATGTATATGTATATACACCTTTGTTTTTTCTTTATTGATGTTTTGTTTACAAATCTCTCTTTATTGATGTTTTGTTTACAAATCTCTCTTTGTTTTCAAACTTGTTTTAGGTAGCAACTCCTACCTAACACAAAATCTCATTTTTGTTGTAAGACCCTTTCCAACCCAACACAATTTTCAACACCAAAATGGTGTAAACTCATTTTTTATACCAAATTTTGATATTGAACTTTTTTATTTATAAAATGATCTTTCAACTTTTAATTTATTTGAAAATTGATTATTATTAAGAGTAAAAATAATTTATTAGATATCTAAATTACAGA